AACAAGAACAGAGGTAAGATGTCTAAACTCTGATTATCGAGAAATTTGGTTTGAGATGATGCTGTCATGTTAACTAAAGAATTGATAACGGATTTTTTTGTTGATAACGATGTGATATACCATAAATATGAGCTTCGAGTTCCACAGAGTGTGCAAGTTTTTTTCGGACAACAATATGAAATATTAATACCTTTAAACAATAAAATATGAAGCAATACCTTTTGAAAGAAATGCATAGGTATAAATAACTAGGTATATTGCAAAATTGTCCCTCCATGCATCAGCAATAAAAGCATTCTCATATTTTATTTGTTCAGGTATCGAAAATAAGAGGCACAAAGACGAGCTCTAAAAGAGAATCCATAGAAAGCAAATATGAATTTTATAGAAAGAATACCATTCACATTCTACTCGCGCATACAATTTCTAAAACACAATAGATTTTCAATTTTATTCATCCAAAGGAAAAGGAACTGCATAATGTCAAGATTTCCTTATTTCTTAAATAAAAACAACTATACAAACGTTTGCTAAATGCGTGTTTGGCAAAATCATTGCCGTATTGTGATTTAAATCCTACGGTTTCGTCTGACTGCAGTCTTAGGGTGGGCTATTTGGAAGCTTCCCAAGCTATAAGATACGTTACACTGGTTCACGAAATACTTATTGTAACTTAGCTGTACCTATTTATTATAAAGGCAAATGGTTATTATTTTTCGGAATGAGTTTGGTCTCGTCTCGTGAAGTCTCGACGAGACGAGACCAGACTAGGCGAGAGAGAGATTACACTTAAAATTTTTCTTTCATAGCTTTATTATTGGACTATTCTGGGCTATTTGCATATGAAATCAGTAAATTAAATATCACGGTTACTCTTCACTGTGATTTTTCACTAATTGCTTTTGCACTGTGGCAGTTTGGACTTCCGTTATAATATAAAAATAAAAACCATAAATACTGGGTGTCCAAAAAATAGCGTAAACATTTTCTACGTAATAGGGGACCCTTTGAGAAACCCTAGAAAAATAATTCAATTAAAAAAATCCTTCTCCATCATTATTCTTGGTAATATGAAGAGGTAGATGTGAAAATTCACCTTCGAATTTTTCAGGTAATTACATGGGTATTCAATTTAATTCTCTGACATATTGTCAACGGGATATTTTCAGTGTTGTCAATTTTAATAAATATTAAAATGCAAATAACTTTCTTAAGAATGTCACTAGATTTTTTTTAAATATTTTCCTGGGGTTCCTTGTAGGGTCCTCTACCACGTAGAGTTTTTTTTTTACGCTATTTTTTGGACACCCTGTATAACTCGAGACCAGGTGAGACCACTCGAGACGAGACGAGACTTTGGTACTCGATACCGAGACTAAGTCATGGGGGCGGATTACGAACTCTCGATTCGAACCGAAACCGCCATGGATTTCGAACGCACTCCATGCGAATGCATGAGAATGCGTTCGAAATCCATGGCGGTTTCGGTTCGAATCGAGAGTTCGTAATCCGCCCCCAGGTCTCGTCTCGAGATGTCGAGACTAGACGAGACCAACCCTAAGTCTCGTCTAGTCTCGTCTCGCGGCACCACTAGTCAAAAAGCAAATATGATTTGGCCCTATGTCAAATTTAGTTCATGGTCAAATTAAATTTCCATATGTACCTACGAAGAAAATAATATCAAAACCTTAAGTAGTTTAGCGTTAAAATTATCACAAATTTCATTTCTGTATTTTTCGCAACTGATGGTGAAATTTACTTTTCATCACCGGTTGCGAAAAATTTTACTTTTCGTACCTGGTGATGAAAAGTAAGACATTTGATGTCGTCAACGAGTTTTGAAAAGTGTCACTTTAAATGTCAAAATTGGAAAAAATACATCAAATTAATAAGGGTAAGTCATGTTGAAGAAAAGTTTCCCCGGGAGAAGACGGAGTCTCGCAATTGAAATGATGAAAGTAGATCAGCAACAAGAGTTCGGTAGCAATTTCGACCATTTTCCCATCAAAATCTCCATGTTGTAAGAAAGCGGTACCGACCCATGGCAATGGCGGCTGGCGTGCTGAGCGGACGACTTTGATTGGTACAAAAATATCCATTTTGGATCAGCGAATTTTTTATATGGATTACCATGGGAAAATAGTCGAAATTGCTACCGAACTCGTGCTGCTTAACTACTGATAAACTATGCACGAACAGCTACTACAAAATCCACTTTAAAATGCTCACGAATAAAAAATAATGTCTCCACAAACAAGAAGTCCCAAAAACATGGCAATATGCCCAAGTAATCGTAACTTTATTTGAACGGGGACAGATTTCAAATGGGCAATTGAAACCCACTTTAGTCTCTTGCCACTACCAACCACCGGATCAGGCTGAGTTTCCAGGGACGGATCCTAAAACAAACTTATTAAAAGAGACTGCCGATACCTGAACCGCACCTCTGTGTTATGGATAATATTGTAGTTGGTTGGGTTGTGTTTCTTTGCTTTCCTAGCCACACTGATCAGATCTGATAGATTCAAACGCATCTGTGGATGGGAAAGCGAGGAAACTTAACTCATAATTTTAACGTAATCTATATTCTTGACACAGATATGTTGGCGTAACTGAAAAGGAGATCAGCCCAAGTAGGAGTTTGCATGAACTTGAGAAAAACAAAAATTCGTCTGGATGGTGTGATTGTAGAAAATGTCGAAAATTATGTTGTTCAACGGCATGTCATCAAGATTGGCAAGAAAAACCAAACAGCCGAAAAGAAACAAAATTAAAAGACGTGGGTAGCAACTGGAAAGCTGAGTACAATTCTGAGGAAAAGTGGGTAGTGGCTGTGTGCACATCCGTAGATAGAAAGGAGGCAAAAAATATTTGTATTCCGTACATACATTTTTATCATCACCTACTAGCAGAGCGCTTTCGGCCATCATCTGTGCTGACTGTGCTTCCTGAATGTAGGGAAATGCCCCTCTAGAATAAAAAGTGGTAATGGATCTCAATTAGGAAAGTGTCTTAAAATTATTTGATTCGCAGACGAAATCCAAAGATATTTTGAAAAATGTTTTGAATTGTCAGGTACTTACATTGTCAGGTGGACAGTGGCCGAGTTCGTTTTTGTCATCTTTTCCGTCGATTTGCTCCGAAATATGGACAGGCACATGACTGGATGAGACAGTTTCAAATTACAAATCACGTACCTGTCAAAATTTCGGAGGATATCGACGAAAAAGATGACAAAAATGAACTCGGCCAGTGAGTCAAATCGATGAAAAGCAAAATTCGCAAAAACAACATATTAAATATACACTGATAAAAATAGTCACCTTGTGACAAAAGATTGCATTCATTTGGCAAATAGGCTTTCAGTTCAAATAATAAAAAAATTAATATGAAATAAATAAAAAATTAAATAATAGTTATTTACATTACAAGTGCGTTTATGAACATGATTACAATAACGAGTGTGAAAGATTAGAACGATGAGGTCGTAGACCGAGTCGTTCTATTCACACGAATTTTATAGTCATGTTTAAACGTTAAACGCACGTGTGATGTACAACGTTTTATCAACAAAGCGAAAAATAGGAATGTTATTTCAATCGTTTTCGTTTATTAGTTATTGTCTACCTTCATTTTACCTTTACAGGTTTAGCCTTGACATTTGTCAAATCAAATCACCAAAAATAGTTGTGTTATAGATTCATAACCTAGTCCATAACATCACTAATTGTGTTATGAATTCATAACCTAGTCCATAACACCACTAGTTGTGTTATGACTCCCATGACATAACTCAAATACTAGAAAAATGGTTATGTAAAAACGTCATAACCAAACGCTTGTAGATAATAGTTATTTACATTACAAGTGCGTTTATGAACATGATTATAATAACGAGTGTGAAAGATTAAAACGACGAGGTCGAAGACCGGGTCGTTCTAATCACACGAGTTTTGTAGTGATGTTTAAACGCACGCGTGATGTAAAACGTTTTATCTATAAAGCGAAAAATAGGAATGTTTTTTTAATTATTTTCGTTTTTTAGTAGTTGTCTACCTTCACTTTACCTTTACAGGTTTACCTTTGACATTTGTCAAATCACCAAAAATCGTTGTGTTATAGATTCATAACCTCGTCCATAACACCACTAGTTGTGTTATGAATTCATAACCTAGTCTATAACACCACTAGTTGTGTTATGAGTCTCATAACACAACTCAAATACTAGAAAAATAGTTATGTAAAAACATCATAACCAAACGCTTGTAGATAAAATAAATTACATTACAAGGGCGTTTATGAACATGATTATAATAACGAGTGTGAAAGATTAGAACGACGAGGTTGTAGACCGAGTCGTTCTAATCACACGAGTCATGTTTAAACGCACGTGTGATGTACAACGTTTTATCTACAAAGCGAAGAATAGGAATGTTTTTTCAATCATTTTCGTTTATTAGTCGTTATCTACCTTCATTTTACCTTTACAGGTTTAACGTTGACATTTGTTAAATCACCAAAAATAGTTGTGTTATGACTTCATAACCTACTCCATAGCACCACTAGTTGTGTTATGAATTCATAACCTAGTCCGTAACACCACTGTTCTGTTATGAGTTTCATGACATAACTGAAATACCAGAAAAATGGTTATGTAAAAACGTCCTAACCAAACGCTTGTAGATAAATTTCAATTATTTTAAATTAATTGACGTTCGGATAAGATATTGCGTGTGCTTGCGGCTACCTCTCGATTCGTTTGGCTAATAATTATTTTGACTGAAAATAACTGCATTTAACTATAAATCCCTTTTTTCGAAATTTTATGTTAAAGTAATATGCACTTGCTGCAAGTCGCAGGGAAAATCGAGGCGTTTCGCTACAGCACCTCCTGGCACTCGTATCGAAATCGGGACACGAACTGACCCGATTCTCCCCGAGTCCATAAGTAGTGCTTGTGCTACACGCTGACTCCGCCATTCTTTCTTTCTGTTTTCGTCCTTCACCCTCTTCGGTTCATAGTTTAGTTGAGTTTAGGTCGAGGGTCGAGGTCGCGTCGAGAGGCGTTCGTATGGTCCGAAATTTTTGTCACTTTCAAAAATTTCGTTTCGCAAAGTTGCAGTTCGAGTTGAAAATGGATTTGAAAGCATTATTGGAAATGTGGAAAATAAGCCATTTACTGACGAAATTTGAAGGTAAGTTTTTGTAAACTTTTCGACGTTTTTGGCCATTAACCAGGATTTGCATTAATAATAATATCTACCCAAACAATAATAGCTTAACTAGTAACCTTATTCATGCCAAAAAATTGTTTTAAGGAATGCCAATCTATAATTACATATTCCTGATTGAAAAGATTAGGAGCTTAGTTTCCCCATGGCCCATGGCGTCCTGATTTAGATTTGTATAAAATTGTTCTGTAAATAAAATTGATGATAAACACTCATCCCAAAAGCAGCAACTTTCTCACAAAAGAATGCGTTCTTTGACGAGAAGTTTTTAAATTTTTTAGTGAATTCCCCGGTTTTATCTCAAAAGCATAATAGTTTTGAGACAACTGTCTGTTGGATCCAATTTTTTATAAGAACTTTTTTTTGTTTGTGTGTTGTTTAAGATTATTCTTATTGTTGCTGATGTTTTTTAGGATCCAGCGCCATCCAAAAAAAAAAGTTAAATTCAGAGTGTGAGGAAGTAATTGACACAGGGCAGCAAAGTGTATTTAGCACCATACACATTGACATTGACAGTCCCGAATCACAATCAACCGGGCCATCAACCTTGGATTTTGAAAATATCCCTGATGTGGATCCTAGTTACTGGAGATGCGAAGGATTGGTTTGATTTCCCGGCTTCTTGTTCAGGATTGGAAATAACAGATTCTATGTGTAGCGATGTGGCAAGCACAAGTTCAACTTCGTCTGAATATGTATTAAGTTGTTCTATTAATGGCCGTTTCCACTAACTATTTTAGGGAAGCCTTAATGATTAGTATTAAGTATTCCTTAAAATGACAGTCTTCCATGGAGAAATGTCAATCTAAGAAATACTTATCGATAGGCTTCCCTAAAATAGTTGGTAGAAACGGCCATAAGTATCTCAAAATAAATTTTTTGAGAAAATTTTGTTTTTTTTAAGTCCCCATTAAATTTATTTCAGTGAAATCCAATGGATTTCAATAAAAAAATCCGTATTTTGTTACGAGTTCCGAAATTCCTTAATTCAAATGCCAATGGATTTAAAATCAAAAATGGGAGTTTTGATTCAAACTAAGAAATCCTTTACCCAAAATCCAACAGATTTAAAGTAAAAGATTATTATATTTGAGTTAAAGTACTAGGCTTTTGAGAAAAGATCCAAAGATTTTGCAGCAAGCATCCAATCAATTGACTCAAAAACCACAAGCATATGAAACAAATATTTACTGGTTTAATGTTAAAAGCATGCATTTGTTATAAAATCACAAAGTAGCTTGATATAAATGCAAATATCGTTAGAACAAGGAAATATCGCAGTCTTATCTCAACGTATTGCCATGTTTAATTTAAACCCCTCATTCATTTGGCCCATATCAAAGTCCCCATTCGTTTGATTGAACGTGAATTTCCTTTGAGGCAAAGTATTCTTTTTTTCAGTGTAGTCGAACACAAATAAAATATGGACTTTACAATATTACATCAATATCACAATGGTTAAAATTTTCTTATTTCTAACATTAATTTTTTGGAACCCCAGGGGGTGAACTTCTGGTTCAGAATAATGTCTTTTTTTGAGGACATGTGTCCTGTGTTGATTTTTATTTGGTCTCAATGTTATAATGATACACTGCGCATATCGAGTTCAGAGTGTAGGAGGGATATTTCCTGTAATGCCTCATGCCATGGAAACTTCGCTACTAACAATAAAATCAAGCAACAGATTTCGGACCACGAAAAAGGTTAGTCCATTCCGCAGTTTCCTCGATTGTATCAAGTTGTGTTTTAAAAACAACAAATTTTGGGTGGGTGACTCCACAGAAAAAGTATATTAGCTTCAAGGTGACCATTTAACAGGACCTCTGAACCTGGTTCAAAATTAAATTTCATCCTAGGAGGTAATTTACTCTCAAAATTAATAAACTGGTTGTTTCGATCTGTAAACCGCCTAACGGTAGTATTATTGCGCAAAGCACTAAATCAATGTACTGCGCAAATAAACAAATGGTTTCCGGGACGTTGGAACAGACACTTGATTTCCTTGCGAAATAATAAATGCATTTGTAGATCCGTACAAAAAAACAATCCTAGGTGTTGAATAAATTCTTATCAGACCGTGCCTTATCTGACACGCAACATAAAAAATAAACGATTACAACAAATTTAGTCCAAAGTGTCGGAAGCCGTTGTTTCTTATAACCACGTTTCGGTCCTTTCTTTAATGAGAGAATATTTCACGGGCGAAATGTGTATTTAAAGCGGAAAGGAGGAGATTAAAAAGGTAAAACACCCATTTTGAAAGGGCCGTTTGAAAGCACAAACTACCAAAGCATTTTGTGTTTTACATAAAGCCAGTATAGGTATTTGTATGTTTATTTTTTCTTAAATTCAAATATGAAGTAATATATACGCTCCTGGATATTGCATCAATTGATTGTAATTTTTATTTGTGTCGAAATTCTTGATGTAAATACAAGTTTTGGGTGGAACAGTTGTGCCAAGAGTTGCTGCCATGGAATTTTTCCCATTGCCTGAGAGAGAACAAGAAGGTAACAGTGCCTGGGTGATTGAAGTAATTTTGTATAAAATTTAATTTTCTCTTCGAGAATAGCAGCAGTATGATGAATTAGGAATTAATTACACTGAGTCTAATTGGAAGTTGAACAGAAACAATCGTCCGCTAAATCAAGGACATCCGGTAAACATTTTTAATTTAAGGCATCTTCCACTTTTACAACGAAACGCTCCCGGGCCGCCGCTAGGGTGTTTGCTGCCTGTGTGTCCAGACAATTTCCGCTTCAATCCCCTCTAAAGTACAAAATTAGGAGCATTGAAATGGAATACAATTTTTAGACTTAGCGTATGAGTCGTGGTAAAGACGAAAGAAGGACCACACACCACATAGAAGAGAGACGCGCAAGGGTATCGGCGCATCAGGCAATTCTCTTTGCTTATTATCCTTGGTTTTTGTCAATCGTTCGTCGGCTGTCATTGACATTGGCTGTCTTTCTCCGCCTCTCTACGTTACATCTTCCTTCTCTCTCGTGTAACGAAATTTGGCAAAACGTGACGCGTCTTTCACATGACTCTCCATTTTCGTGCAATATTCGCCGCCTAAGAAGTTTCACTTCAAAAACCCAATTATTTTGGTCCGCTGTCGGGTGCGTCTGTCGCCGACATTTGATATCCTAATAAAGAATAAAACTTGACGACTCAAGTGTTTATTTGCTTGTATTAAACGTATTATGATATACAGGGTGTCCCCGTTCAACTGGTCAAAAATGCTAGGGTATATAGAGGAACCATAGAAAAGTAGTTTGAGATAGGACACCGATGGTCGGAAGTACGTCTTTTCCAAAATACAGTGTCTTGAAAATTTACCAAAAAAAAAAATCAAATGTTTCCCCCTGTATTAACAACGTTTTTAGCGATTCTAATGAAATTTTCCGGTTTTAAATGATAGGTGGTGATGCAACTTTCTAAAGAATTGCAGTTGATTTGATTTTTCCAGGGACGAACTTGCAGCACATGTGTGTTAAATTTAAAATACCATTTTTTCTTCAAAAAATGTAACACACATGTACTGCAAGTCCGTCTCTGAAGAAATCAAATCAACTGCAATTCCTCAAAAGGTTGCATCACCACCTATCATTTAAAACCTGAAAATTTCATTAAAATCGCTAAAAGCGTTTTTAATACAGAAGGATCGAAAATTTCGATTTTTTTGTAAAATTTCAACACCCTGTATTTTGGAAACGATGCACTTCCGACCATCGGTGTCCTCTCTCAAACTACTTCTCTATGGTTCTTTTATACCCTAGCATTTTTAACCAGTTGAACCGAGACACCCTGTATGATATTGTTATCAAAGGCTAGGATTCAATACAAATATGTGAATAAATACTTTCGGTTTATTTTCGTTATTAAAGCTTGATGGGTTTATTTGTTTGAGAGATTTATTTTCGATAAAACTCGATAGGTATGAATTATTTTGATGTGAAACTTCTTAGGCGGAGGTCTGATATTTGGACGAAAATGGAGAGTGATTTGAAAGACGCGTCACGTAACGTCAAGTTTTGGGAAATTTCGTTACACGAGAGAGAAGAAAGATATAACGTAGAGAGATGGAGAACGACGGCAAATGACAATGACAGCCGACGAACGATTGACACAAACCAAAAATTATAAGCAAGGCGTATTGCCTATTATTGTCAAGCGCCGATGCTCTTGTGACGTCACTAAAGATGCATGTCTCCCTTTTGTGTATTCCTTCGTCTTTACTCCGACTCATACGCTGCGCTGCCTTAAAGTTGTATGCGCTCCACATGATTTCTGTTTTGCATCAGGATCGGCGGCGGCAACCTCTTTCAATCGGTCGCCTGTGTGCTTTGAACACACCGCACACCGTAGCGGCGACCCTGAAACGCTCTGTTGCAGGTTTTCGTTTTTTTTCAATTCAATTTTCTATGTTCCTTTCAAATCACATTAAATTAAATTCCGGGCATGCTACTCGAGAGGATTGACCCGAGCTCTTCTTACGTTTGGTTGCTGTGAATTAGTGGACTAGCTTTGGACTATACATTTCTTTAAATGGAATCGGAAAACTCAAGGAACGACTATAAATTCGGCCCTAAAGCCTAGAAGGGTTATTATTGTGTTTGCTTTATTCCAACCACTTTAGTATTTTGATTCCCTGTACAAGGTTGTACAGGTCTTTTGGAACGTGCCCAAATTGCTTCTAACTATTTTACACCTATTGTCAGTTTTAAATCGAAAATTCCTTTACATATTTAATTTTTTCCTGATTTTATGAAACTTTCTTTACATTTTTCCTTTATAAAAATTCGACAATAATTCCAGTAGCTGCAGATCCTGAAAATTTTCTAATCTTCAATATTTAAATTCTATTTTCACTTTTCTGTAGTTCTTGTTGACGACTAATGATTTTAATCATATATTATATCACAAGAGCTTTAAATTTAATCGATTAAACTATCCAACATATTTTGAGCATGATTTTGCTTGGAAAATAGTTGATGCACAATAACTTAATAAAAAATATTTAAAAGTTATTGTGCATGAAACTATTTGCCAAAAAGCAAAATTATGCAAAAAATATTTGGATAGTTTAATCCATTTAAATTTATAGGTCGAGTGGTATACGGCTAGATTATTTCCTGAATAATTAGGATTGAATTGTTGGCGTCAATGCTATCCAAAGAGTTCTATTTATTATAAAATGTCAGAATATTTCTATCAAAATTCTGTCAAAAAAGGTAAACAAAAATTTAATCGCTGATAAACAAGGTGTTGTGAAATAATCACTTATTTAAACAAAATTCATTCAAAAAATGACGTTGTCTGATGGGTCTATTTTATAATGAATGAAATAATCGGTTTTAATCAATATTTTAATTCCATTATTCTTGGGTTAGGTTTTCGTGGTCCGTTCACGAAGTGTGTACTGCACGCCGCAACTGTACTCTGTTCGGTTGCTGAGCTCAGTACCAGATTTAGTCCTGCTTCCGTTCTATCCGCTCTCCATTCACACTTAGGGCGAGAACCCACGGGCGTAATTGACGTAAGCGTAACATGAGCGTAACTATCATGTGATTTAATTTGTACGATTTCATTGGCGGCAATGCAGCCATCTTGAATTTTTGACATTACGCTGCTGCTACGGCAAAAAGTTGGGTTTTGTTGAACTTTTCGACGTAATCGTGGCAAATTTGTGACGTAATGTATGAGGTGAGTTCAGCTTAGCAGAACGGAGTTGGGGCAGATAAAGAGCAGTTTCATAGTAACCTGAACACAGAGCGA